CCGAAAATCTAGTGTTGATCCCCTTAGATTAGCATTAACCGCTTTGGGACATTAGTGGTGGTGAATATTCAAAGCATGGCAGCTCTCACTAACACCATACAGAGATGAAGTAAAGCAATAGCAGCTGTAGACGCACAGGAACAAAAAATTAAAAAAGTCACATGACCGGGGCAGTTTAATACCTTGCTTCATGCTGTCTAAGTGGTGTTTCCACAGCACACACGGCGAATCACCAGGACTTGAAAGTGAAAATAAATCCCACAGAGGACAGACTGCTGAATCAAGGGGTGTGGGGAGGGGGGGAGATAGCTGAACATCAATGAAAAAGGTAGAGTCACATGGAGTCCCTTTGTCTCGTGGAGGGAGGGCAAGCTTGAGCTTACATACAGAGATTGACGCGGTCGTCGCTCATAGCCAAGGTGTGGTGTTGAATTTCAGGAATTTAATTAGAATTACATCACCCACGGCGGGTCTGTAGTGGAAGGGACAGAGACAGTCAGGATGTAGCTCAGCCTACAAATGGGAGCCGAGTCGAAACATTTGGACGTGAACGCTGCTCTGTCAGCTGACAAACTGCAAGCTGCTGTATGAAACTGAGCCACACCAGTAGGGAGATCAAAGGCAATTTATCTTATCTTAACTTGTGTGTCCCACCCAGAACAAACTAGAATGTTATTAATTACCGTATGGGAGTGATAATTGGTGCAATGATATTCATATACACATATCCACAATTTTTTATATATATATATATATATATATATATATATATATATATATATATATATATATATATATATATATATATATATATATATAAAAATACATTTTTCAAGAGGCACTTACACGCCCAAAACCTTGTCAAAGACATGGCAAATATAATTGTCTGGAGTGTTTCCTCTTACAAAATACTTGCAGAAACTTTCGTTAAGAGTAGAAGATAAACCCTGACATTAATGAAAAACATCCAAATGAAATGAAACAGAACTTCAGACCAGACACAACACACATACCTTGGCTCCCCAAGGTAGACAGGGTAGACGAAAACGATCTTTCACACTTTGCATGAACCCAGCAAAGCTTGGAGCTGACTTTCACAATTGAACATGTGGTAAAGTTTGGGGGTAAGAGAGTAAAATCAGAACTCTGTCAGTGTGGGGCCCAAACACACGCACGCCATGAGCTGTTCTTAGTGCAAAAACCAAACTCTGTGTTAAACAAAGACATTTTCTACTCCTCGCTGATTAAGCCCAACCACAAATTAACTCACAGCAAAGAATGACATCCTGTATCATTATCCATCCAATTTCTACATCCACTTGTCCTATACAGAGCCGATTGGGGGGGGGGGGGCAGAGACTATCCTGGAGGCTACAGGTGCAAGGTAGGGAATAACCTGGGATCGGGCACCAACCCCCCACAGCGCACTCACACAGTTACACCTACAAGCTATTTGGCAACTCCAATTAACGAGGAAACCAGAGTACAACACAAGAAACCCCAGTACAACACAGGGAAAACATGCAAACTCTACACACACAGAGCCAGGGGGCGGAGACTCTGACCCAAGTCCCAGAGGTGTGAGGCAGCACTGCTAAGCACTGCACCACTGCACCACTGTGTCGCCATCTATCCATATCAATTAGCCAATAAGGGCTGCAGTTACCCTGGAAGAGGGCAGGTAAACGCCCATCACAGGATGCAAGTCCACTGCACAGCACAATCTCAGAAACTTGCTGTTTCATTTGGTCAAAATTGAACTCCTTCCTAATAAGTCTTGCGTCATTCAATGCTGTGCTGCAGAAACTACGATAACTGCATTAACCTCCAGCCTTCCGGAACATTCAGTAACCCATGTGTAATTTGGAAGGGTTCTGTGTTCCTATTCCTCTCCCCCCTTCACGTCAGGCTAGCTCTCTTTCTTTCTCCCATCTTTGACCTTATGACGTTCCTCAGAGCTTGTAGGACTGGAGCCAAGATTACTGCCCACGCTCTGGTTACTCAAAGGAAAAGCCCCAATTATCAACAGATGTTAGAAACAATGGCAAAGAGGAACCAGCCCAAATATGGAGGCAACATTTACTCTGCACAAAATCCAAAATGCCCCAGTGCGAATACAACATAGAGTTCTCGTATTTTCATCGCATTTGATATAAAAAGATGAACAACCCAGCTTTCATAAGAGCTAATAAAAGATCTAACCAAAGATGATCTTTAATAAATCCTTCAGAATGTAGGAAGAAAGTTATTTTTTGGTGTTTAATAAGTGGAAGTTTGGATTAACAGTATGCCACAATACAGATATACACATAAATACATCACTCATTAATAAAATTTCTTAACAGCTACGCAGCCCAAAGCTAAAAACACATTTCATACATTGAAAGACAACCTAGAATATCTAAGTAAAAATTTACACAAATGGGCAGCAGTTTAGCTTGAAACTCCAAGCGTTTCCACCCATTTATTTGTGCAATCAGTAGATTTTTCCAAAACTCTTATATATGTTTGTAATGTGAAGAGTTTAACTACCACCGGTTGGACTGTGAGAGAAATATTTATCATTAGTGATGCGGACACCAAAGTTTTATAATAGAAAAAGCAGCTGGAAACTACAAGCCTTACAGAAGCGGACTGAACAGATAAGATCAGCCAGGGGGCGGGGCTTGTGTAAGATGAGCGAAGATAAGAAATCAGCTGATCAGCAGATACCTCAAAGAGAACTGGAGATTAATTCTCCACGCAGAGCGAACAGACACCATGCACCCAAGGGACAGTAGACAGTATCTCTGTATCAAGCATCCGAACTGCACAGGACACGCCTCATTCTCTCAAAAGATGCAACTGCATCGCTCGCTTATCATGCAAGCACAAGACGGAAGTGTGACGGCAAGAAGCAGTGAAGAATAGATGCCTCCTTCGAAACGTCTGATAATACGGCCATGCTTTACCAGCAGGAAATAAGTGTTTCCGTTAGGAGGACATGACAACCCCCCGTCACCACAGCCGAGGGATGTCGCCTCAGAACGTAACAGTACCTCCGCTTTGGTCGACTCCATATTACCCCAGAGATTCCAAAATGTAACTTCCAATACATGCAGAAATCATTCCCTCCCCCCCCCAGACTTATTCCTACCGGAGAACTCCTTGACTCAAGCAGAGAGCCACAGGTTCAAACAGGACACCACCCACGGAATGATCACACAGCGGTCACTTTCTGACCAGGGGCCAAGTAAACCGCCCACACCAAAGTCCTTTCTGGACATCAAATGAAAGACAGAAAAAAAAAAACAGAACAGAAAAATTGCACTCTGGGGACAGGGAGGATTATTTTAAAATGGTGGTTTCTCCAAAAAAATTTAAGACAAAAAACTAAACTGAAAGTTGGAAATGGGTCCTCCACCGACATAGCTCCATCTGTCTACTCCAAAGGAAACGTGCCTTAATGCCTCCATCACGTACGGTTTAGCTGTATCTGCATGCGGGGGACAAGCTCACGCTGCAGCCAAGCTGGACTCGGTAAGGTGACGTGCATTTAGGTGTGACAACAATGCGAGATGACTTCTGCTGCCGGACTGACCACCATAATGAGGCCGAAGATCATCCCCCCCCCATAATCCCCGCTGTCATCCGCTGCACGTTGTCCTTCAGCAGTTACGCCGCTGATGTCCCGGCAACAAGAACGAACCGCAGGCAAATACTCCAGCAGCTTGGTGTTTAGCGGCCTTTGTCTCTAAATACATGAAGACTTACGAGACAGTCCACCTGTTGACCTCCTTTCAATCTTGAACTATACGATCTTCCTGCAGCTCGTTGTCATCATAAAGCATTTAGAAACGGGCAAAGTTACAACGGAACACTCACCCCTGACACGGACATCTTTATGTCCTTTATTACATTTACAAGACAGTCACAAATTCAAAGGTCAAAGTTTATTTATAAAATCTCCGGGCGACTGTGTTTTCATGTTCATCTTCTATTTAAAACCTAAAAAGCCCCTAGAGGAAAGTGCAAGAAGATTTTTCAGAAGAATTTTCCATCTGGGTTCATACAAGTGTCTGGACAACTAAACTGACCAACACATCTGGTCTGGTTTAGAAACAGTATCTGTCGTGTGCTAGTAACTGACTGCAAACCCTTTGAATGCCTATAAGGACTGCTGACTCCAAGAAAAGTAATAGGTTAGTACTACTACTATGCAGCAAATACTCACTACAGCAAATACAACAGCAAGAAAAGAAACCGCTATCTTACAAGATCAGAGAGTTACAGCGATGACACTAACTGTTTAGATGCAGGAATGGAAAATGTTACACCGCACGTTCAAAAGCCGAGGCCTTAAAATTGCAAATCAAAGCCCACCGTAAAGCACCGACAACAACCCCAAAGCAAAATCCCAGGCGCACGAAGCAACGCATAGACGCTTCGTATTAGTGCGGCTGTCACACTGTAGCCGGCTGCATGCCCACAGGTCGCCCGAAAAATATCTGTCACCCTCGGTGCATGCATATAGTCCTGCATAAGGTCACTTCGGACCACACTGGACAAAATAGATAAAACATTAGAATACATCTGACGAATAAATGACTGTCGTTTGAATAGCTTAAGATTTAATCCCTCTCGTCTTTTTCTAATGCCCTGCCAGTGCGCATCTACCCAGTCCCATTGTTATACGGCCGCGATCGTGGCAACTAAACGAAAGCAACGTGCCTCATTGCTGCACCCTAAGCCTTTTCCCCTGCAAAACCGTCCCGCCTGGGCAGCACTGTCACGGTCCCGACCCGGTCCCGACCCCGCCTCGGCGTCCCACCGCCGCCCACATCGGCTGCAGAATTGTAAACGGGGAACATGCCGAAGGCGGAGAGGAAGAGGCGGGCGGTGAATCGCTCCTCTAAGCCGACTGCCGGTACCAACGATCCGACAGTTGACACCGCTCCGGTAAAGCCGCCGGAGTTGCAAGAATGAAATACATGTTTTTTTGAAACATCATTTGGACTCACCGAGTGGTTGACTCCCCACATGAGGACGCTGAGTAGCGGGTCGCTGGCACGGAAGAGCTTCACTTTCTGAGCCACGAAATGCTTCTTCTTGGTCTTGGTCTTGCTGGCGATGGAGGCAACGATACCGCTCGCCGAAGCCATGCCGATCAATCTGGCCGCACACTCAGCGATACACCTTATAATGAACTGTCCGCCTTATAACTAGCTGCGGCCAGTGCAAACCCCGACGCGCTCTTAAAAACCAAGACAATAAATAATAATAATATCAATAATAATAGTGGATCTTCTTAAAACCCAAGCATTTTTCTCCGCCAAAATGAATGTCCTATCGCGCTGTGCTGATGCTTGTGTGATGCAATCAGAAACTCAGGCTAATGATAATAACTAACTTATTTTCTGCGCTGGCTAGCTAGTTTTGCAGCAAACCGCACTTCCCCTAGACATCATTGGTCACCCCCTTTCCTTCCTCAAGCCCGAACCCCATATGCGCCCGATCGGAGCTCGCCGATTATGCCACCGTCTTGCTTTCAAAACGACAGCGAGTTGATTTCAGTAAGCTATTGTTTCACTAAGCAAAGGCGACAATTAAAAATAATGATCTATCTACAGCAAATACCAATGCTCTCTAACGTGCCCGCACCATCCCAATACGCACCCAATTCAGGATCTGCCACGTTAAAACACGTTTCCCCCACTTTATGTTCCTTCTCCTCCAAAAGTGAAAATGTACGGAAACGTTCAGTTACTCCGAAAGCGGGGAGAAAGCAGCGCTGCAATGCCGCAGATCGCTGAATTTTAATGTTTAAAAAGCCTGCAGCTGACTCCCAGCGCTTCCGGCTGGCTGCCGCTCTGCCCGCTGACAACTGGAAGTGGGAGGCGGCCGAGCGAGCGGCGCTCCGACGGGCGCCGATCGTACCTCCGTTTCGTGGCCAATCGAAGGGCAGGAAATACGCTCGAGGTGGCAGGAAAATAAAACGCACAATTAACAAATGCATAATTTACAGTATTTACGCAACCGTACATTTTTAATCAACACCCACTAAGAGAATCATTCTCGAAATATTACGAAAAGTGGCTTATTATCATAAAAGGGCAGTTCAGTTTTAGTTTCAGTTTCATGTGTTACGAGTCTGGTGCCGATTCTGAAGGGGGAGTCAGCACTGAAAACCCAAAAAAATCGTGCATCTATTACTAGTGGTTTAAAACGTGGGCGTGCAATGATGAAATCTTTGTAGTGTCCAATCGGACGTGCATTTGCCTTAGAACAGTACAACGAGACAATGGGAGCAAAATTAAAATTCGGCACAATAATTAAAAGCAGAAGACTCAACAAGTCCACCATTAGTGGGGAAATTGCGGGAGCGTACGGGTGGAAAGAGACATCAAAACAATCGGCCTTAAAATTATGCATATCGTCTCATATCCTGCCATTTACCATATATCGCCTTTGTTCCGCGAACCAAGGGGATTTAATTCCGCTTGCCTTCTATGGCAGTCGCTCGGGCTCAGCGTTGTTGCGCATGTCTCGATTCACTCTCATGCTGGAATAATCTTGTTTCAAGTGCAGTGGCGGGGGTTTTCTCTAGATCATCACAATGAAGACATACGCCCATATTTTCCTAGTAATTTTATAAAAAATTTAATTGATCTCCCTCTTATTTTGTCTCTTTATTTCTGTAAATTGTTTCTTGGCCCTATTTCCCGTGCCATTTAGATTATTTTTTTTCTGCAAATGCAAACCTGGGCCTAGAACCAATGCCAGGTCGCATAGGGCCCAAGGCAGGGGTACACCCTGAATAGGATTCCACTTCATCTCAGGACACACATTACCATTCAACAAGTATATCCTATGTGCAGGATGGAGATGCAGGATTTAAACACCCAGTCCTGAAAGTGTGAAGCAGCATTGATACCCACTGAACCAATGTTACATCCACATTTTAAATTCCATTAAATGTTAATATGGTGGCAGCTGAAACTGGGAAGTAGGAGTTTAGTAATAAAAATATAAAAAGATCAGAACAACAAAATAAGTCATGTCATTTTGGCTGACATAGATCTCTCAATACTCACTAGACTGTATGGAATTCACCACTTGTTCTCACTACCATTTCCTTAAACATTTTGTTTGTCTCATCTCCTGCTTTGGCTTTATGGTTCAGATTTGTCCTGCTAGGTTTTCCTTGTCCTACGCCAGACATCTCTTTCCACCATGGCTTTGTTTATCTGCTACCCGTTTCATAACCTTCTCTACATGCGTTCTTCCTCCAGCCGAGCCTCACTGTGTACTTTCAGTGTTTGATCTTACTTTCCTGGCTCCAGAACCTTGCTGACATTACCAGACCTCCTGCCTGTCCCCTGTGTTTACTTTGCATCCAGGTCCACCTTCATGGTTCTCCTGAGTTTGCCTCTACTATCCCCTGCAGCTCAAATCTGGGCCATAGGGGGTGCCTCAATGATACAGACAAAATATCAGACGCCTCAGAAATCCTCACACCACTCATTTGGCTTCTCCTTTGGCCCTGCTCATCCAAAACTGCCTAATCAATCCAATTAAGGCCACCTAGATTTCATTAAGAAAGGTGTTCATGGGTAGAGGCATCACCATGGCAACAGAAAACCACTTAAAACCAGTCCCTTGCCCTTGATCTACATTGTGATGTGTCACATACAAACTTAAAATTTAGTCTTTAATTAATTTGTAGCTCAATAATTTCAATGCCATTGATGTTTTTATGTGGATTCACTCTGAGGCTAATCTGCACAGATATTTATATACAAATCTAATTGTATATTTACTTATATTCTCAGCAATGGATGCAAAAAAATGATGCATGCACAATGATGTTTGTGCCACATGACAAAAAGTCAGCTGACTACAATTCCAAAATTAAAAATAATACACCCTATACTGTACAAAAGTTTGTATATTAAGATTGTAACAGTAGGCAAGTAGGGCACGGTACAGCCACACATTCCATGCGCGAATACTCAGGACTTATAGAGAAAGGAATGCCAAAGGTTTTGGTTTCATACATGGGCACCGTTAGGTCCCATCACTCAGGGCTATAGCCCAAGTATTTTAAGCCAAGTTCTGAGTATTTTAGCCCCCATGCCAATTATCCTTCTTCAAAAACTGCCTATGGAATATTTAAAGCTTGCATGTAATGAGTCAGCACTTATAATACAAAAGTAATATTAGATTTCATGCATAGGTCATTTATACTGCAGTTAGTTTTATATATGCATATCTGATTATTTGAACACTGAAGAGAATTCTGCCATGACACTAAGGTCTTGCCCACTGACCTAGCAGTACCTGTCCTAGATGTTTCTCTCCCTCTCTAATCTCTAATCACCTTTACTTGGCCATAATGAATCCTCATTTAAAGATATGTGTTGGAGATGTAGGGATTTGCATGCACGTACTGCTCGACATCATAACTCGACTGAGGAAATAGCCTTAATTACAACAACATCTGTCCACCTTTCATCCTGTTATCCCAGTCAGGGTAATGGAAGTAATAATACCATAATAAATAACTACCCAGTGTATGATTTTTCACCAGGGGCCTGTAGCACAAAGCTGGATGTTTGTGTTAGCAAGATGACTTGTTGGATTTAAGGTAGTCTGAGCTAAATATAAGTGAATGAAGATAAAATCCGTTTAAGCTGAGCCACCTTAAATCTGGCGAGGTATCTAGCTGACCAGCAAATCCGGCTTCACAATGCAGGCCCCATTTAATAAACACGTGATAGAAATGCCACACATCACTTTTATAATTCTTTCTGCTTGTTTTGCTAAAAGGACAGACCCTGCCCCTACTTACTTACTTTGATTGGCATCTACAGGTGGTTAAACAAACTTCTCAGAATACACTTGTCCCCTTGTCCCCATTTCCTGGGGATGCACGAGCTTCATTCATCCTCGGGCTTCCGGGGGCGGCGCTAAACTCGGCGTCCGTTTCTTAGCAACCAGTGTCAACAGAGGATCTCGAACCCTCGAAACACCCAGAACTGCCGGAATAGATAAATCAGGTGATAAACTGTTATGTATTATTGAGACGCACAACATAACGATACTGTTAACATAAACTAATTTTCAATTATTTATTAAGTTAAAAATATTTTAATAAACTGGAGAGGAAATAATGAGATGGGCAACGGTGTCTCCTTTTATGTTGCATAACTGGCTTAAAATTTTGCAGGTATAAACATGGTATATATTCCTGTATAATAACTGCGGACAAGTTTCAAAAGATGATTTCGTCTTTTAAAGTGAAGCAGCGAGCGCCGCACGCAGAGTAAACGGACCTCGTGACCCAGGGCACGCACTGCACCGCAGCACGCGCTTCTCATCCCCTCCGTCCCCTTCACCGGAGTTACAGGTCCCAGGATTTCATAAAGCATTTCTAAACAATAAGTACGTAGATTACGTGGGTACCTTTCATGCGCGACGTTATCAGTCTGCAAAGGCGTGTGTTCATTATCTAAGCGATAATAAGCCGCTTAGCGAATCCACTGCAAATGGTTTACAAAGAGCTAGTCTTAAATTATCTTTACATTTATACTGCATGATACTGTACGAAATTATAATTATCTTAACTACATTATCTGATGGAAGTCCATAATATGTGTATGTATAATATATATATATATGCTAGGAACCAGAGATAGGATTCACAATTAATATGTTAATGTCAGCAGGCCTCTCGGAAAAACATGCACCTATCTTTGACATTTCTTCAGGATGGGGAAGAAAGTGAGGAAAGAGCCTGAGACTCCCTCCAAAGATACAGTAAGAGAGCCGTTGTCTTAACTCACTGGACAGGACCGATAACTGCCAGTTAAGGGCTTTAGAATCCTCTAAGGAGGATGTAAGATATATGGTATGACAAATTACATTAGTTCAATTTTGGTAGAATCCCTCCTACCTACGAGAACATCCACACTAATATAGATCAAGTGGGACTCACAAACCTGCTTTGGTCACTGTCAGAGGCGCTTCATATTTGGCTAAACTGCCTGAACTCCCAAACAGTTTGACCCTCTGTCAATCGAGAGCAAGAAGGCAGCCACCGTGATCCTGATGCTGAGCTCCCTTGAAGAGGAAGTCGTGGCCAAAGCATGTGAAGCCATCCTGAGATACGCAGAAAAAGGTGCACCATGTTGCTCAGTGTGTCTTTTCATGTCTGATGGGATGAATTGTTACTGTCAGTATCCTGTCCAGCAGTGCGGTAATCAAACCTTTACCTTTGCTGTATTAATTGAATCCCAAGGTAACTTCTCTGCCCCCGTAGGTGATGAAAACAAGAGCTCACTGGTAGGGCTGGGAGTTATGGAACCTTTATGCCATCTATTATCTCACGGGGACAGTCTAGTGAGCAGGAACGCTGTTATGGCCTTGGGGGTTATGTCATCTAACAGTAAGTATTTGACTAAGCAGAGCTGGTCACATGGTCTGTCAGGGAGCTGGTCACATGATTGCATTAAATTACCAAGTAGAATCTAAGTGATACACCATCAACTTCTACTTTTAAATTATTTATGCTGATGTAAGTTGAACATGTTAAGGTATACTGAAGCAATTGAAAATCCCAAGTTTAGGTTTACTGAAGCAGTTCAAACATCTGGCCATAAATGTTTTGTGCATCCCTAACCACCATACTGCCTGGCCTAGACACATGGTATTTTTTGTTTTGTTGTCTTATCAACAGATGATGTAAAAGGAGTTTTGAAGAAAATGGATATCATACCTTTAGTTATCAGCAAATTGTCACCAGACGGTATGATAAATGAAGTTGCTGCTGTTTTGTATATGTGTCGCTTGGCAACTTACAAAGGCTCTTAAGAAACAATAAATTTTTAATGTGAAAATGATTGTATCTTGTAAAGCATTCTATCACTGTAATCAAGTAGTTAAATCAAAGACAGCTGGTCTCATAATCATGTAGTCAGGTTATGTGTTTATTCCATGTTGAAGATTAGAATTTGGGTTGCTTTGTGTTCTACTTGTAGATGATGTTGTTGTCCATGAATTTGCCACCTTGTGTCTGGCCGCCCTGTCCACTGAATTTACCAACAAGATCCGAATTTGTGACAACAATGGATTGGATCCACTAATCCATCTCCTGTCGAG